TATAAGTTCATCATGGGGGCACAGAAGGGAATTGGTGAGGCTTTACTCACCAAGGCGCCCCTGGGGGTTACAAGAAATAATGGCCATAAGCTAGCAGAGAGCAGATTTAGACTGGACATTAGGAAGAACTTCTTCACAGTTAGAGTGGCCAAAGTCTGGAATGGGCTCCCAAGGGAGGTGGTGCTCTCCCCTACCCTGGGGGTCTTCAAGAGGAGGTTAGATAGGCATCTATCTGGGGTCATCTGAACCCAGCATTCTTTCCTGCCTATGCAGGGGGTCAGACTCGATGATCTGTTGAGGTCCCTTCTGACCCTAACATCTATGAATCTATGAACCACCACCCTCTGAGTACGACCCTTCAGCCAATTCGCAATCCATCTGACTGTGTAGGCATTGATGCCACAGTCACCTAGTTTTTTAATGAGGATGGGGTGGGGTATTAGTTGACCATCAATATAATGTGGCCATGAAAAAAAACAAATGTGATCCTAGGATATATCAGCACTTCCAGCATACGTAGGGAAGTATTAATGCATTTGTATACAGCACTAGTAAAACATCATCTGCAATACTGTGCACAGTTCTAGTCACTCATATTACGATGTATTCAAACTGGAACAGGTACAGAGGAGGGTTGTTAGGTTGATTGAGGGAATGGAGATTCAAAGAGCGTGGCTTATTTAGACTAGCAAAACTAAGGCTGAAAGGATAAATGATTGCTTAAGTCTTCCCAGAACCACCCATCCTAGACTTCGAAGAAGCACCGAACCTTGCTAACCTCATCACCAGAAGCAAACTTCCTATGGCCCAAACACAACGAATGGTTCCAGACCATGCCATGACAAGAAATACAAAACCTGCCAACATATCTCCACCACCCCCACAATTATAACACCCCACAACAGAACCATCAGCATTCCTGGATTATACAGCTGCACCTCCAGAAATGTTATATATCTCATCCAATGCACCAAATGCCCTGACAGAAAATACACAGACCAAACAACAACTGCATACCAGAATGAACGCGCACCGGAAATCTATTAAAGACAAGAATCCCTAATTACCTGTGGGGGCACATTTCTCACAAGAAAAGCACTCTCTCTCCAATCTTTCAGTTCTAATCCTCAAAGGGAATTTACAAAACATGTTTCACAGACAAGCCTATGAACTTAATTCACCAACTTCCTGGATACAAAAAATCATGGACTAAATATAGATATTAGATTTATGACACATTATAACTTGCTTGACATCTGACTCCCCAGGTACCTCTCCACTATTTACCAGCTACATTCATTTCCCTCCCCACCTCTTCCCCAGCCTCTCTCTCACCCACTGAATCCTCAATTTACATTTTCACTGACTGCCTGTCTTGCCTGCACTGCATACCAGCCTCTGGCTTCTTTACTATTCATTCCATCCAGGAAGAGCACACATCAACTGCAGATGCTTCCTCAGCCTGATGAAGGGTATTTAAACCTGAAAGCTTGCTAAGATTTTTTTTCAACTATTTGAGTTGGTCTAATACAAGATATCAGATTTACCCAAAGAACCTTGTCTGCTCTCTATAGATACATGGAATTGTTAAACATGGGGGTGGAAAAAGACCCATTTAAGCTGCAGAATAGTACTGTCACGAGAACAAACTGGCCAAGAAATTAATCAGTTCAGAAATTGGAAGAAAGTTTTTCACCATCAGAGGCTGAAAGTTCTGGAACAACCTTCCAACAAGGGAAGTGGGGACAAAAAACCTTACTGATTTTAACATTGTTTAATTAGTTTATGAAGTGTATTAATGATGTGGTTACTTGTGCTAGCAAGGGACCAGATATAATGACCTATGAGGTCTGTATTTAGTCTGATATTTTTCCCCTGTTCATTTATGAGATGTAATCGAAAGCTGTATGCAACAAGGTAAGCAATTTGATTGTATTAAAATCAATCAGAAATGGGAAGCAAGCATTTATGTTAACAGAAATCCAGTTCTTTCAAGAAATACAGTTCCATGACTTTAGAATAAAATCAAAATATGAGTGGGTTCAAAATTTAGTTCAGTATTTTCTATTCCCCATACTCGTACTCACATTTGGTCACTTTACATTGTCTTGCTATGTATAACTGTAGTCCAAATGGAACAATTATAAAAGGAGCAAATCCTTAAAGCAATATTGAATTTATCTTTCAGTAAGGTTGAAGTCTGTAAATTAATAAAAATGATAAAACAGCTTAAATAATGTTTTACTCTATAAGAAGAAAAATCCCGCCCCCCATTAAATTGTTCATGTAGGAGTGTGTAGTGTGCTTGTCAGCAAAACATCTTCATATACTGCTTTCTTTTAAAATTTGAAATCAATAGAAACACTTGTAAGACTGAAATGAGCCGGATGTGACTGCACTACAAGCTTAGGAAAATATGCAAACAAACAGGGTCAAAATAGCTGTACCATATCCTGCATTTATATTTAATTGGCTATATTTAAGTTATGTTAATTAACTGGAAAGGTATTATCAAACAAAGAAACTGCCCATTATCGTTGTGGTGTTGCTGTAATGTAACATAATTATAAGTTTTCTTTGCACTAGTTAACATTGGTAAAAAAATAAATACATTTTTTTTAACGTTCCAAGTTCTATTATAAGGTATTGTTAGGATTACCTCCCTCACCCCAGCCTTATTTTTAAATTAAAATTCATAAGTTATTCACAGTTAAGGCATCCCAGCTGTCCTCTCTGCACATATATGCCAGGAAACATTTTGGGTTTATCTTGCCTCCATCATCCCCAAGCCACATCAGAAACTGGCACAGTGGTGGTACTAGAAAGCCGAACACATCTGGGGACAGGATGTTGAACATCTGCTTATGAAGTGCTGGGTGGCTTCTGATGAGTAAACAGGCTGTGCCCAGAAAGGGGAAGAGGGTGAGGGTGCTGAAGACTCTGGAAAGATACTGGAAGATCAGCATCTCTAAGACCTGGGGTGTCAAATTAGTTTGCACCCCCAGGGCCAGATTTGGATTGCAGGGCTTCCTGTAGGTTGATTATGAACTCACCTCTGGGGATGGGGCAAGCAGCAGTGGGACAAGTGATATCAGGGATCCATGAGGTTTAACACACTTGTTGCTTGCTTGCTGCCACCAAAACAGGGCCCAATGCTCTGAGTTCTTGGCCCCTCAAGATTACTTAGAAGAAACCCTTTGCAAGACACCTTAACATAATGTAAAAACTGCAGGGTTGCTTTTTAACTCCCCACCCAAACACATGGCTTGATGTTTATAGGCCACAACTGGATAACACACTCCATCCTGCCTCATGAGGTAATTGGGGTGGGGCAATTTCTGTGCTACCAAAAGAACAGGAGTTGATATTTTGTGTAACCCAAACCACTGTAGGGGAAGGCCCCTTTGAGACACTGCATATTTGAGTGAGGGCAGATGTGATCCAGACCTTAAGAAGTGCTTCAGGCAAAACTGGTGTTGGCTTCTCAAGATACGAATAAAGTTTTCAGGTTTTGAACTATAATGAATATGGCACAGAAATAACTCTGAATATTAAATGTCTTGCTCTGACTTCTACATTCAGGGAAGCGTTCATACATGGGTGTAGCCATGTGAAGGCTTGACACTAATGCTGCAACAGTGACATGTTTTCCAGAAAGCACTGTTATTTGTTACCAAATGATTATACACAGGCAACAAAACCTCCTTGAACAACAGATACTCTTCGTTGCCTACACACAGCTATTTTTTCTGGATAAATGTTGAAATTCAAAATGGCATGAACTTTTTAATCTAACAATTAAAAATGAGAATAGAAATCAAACTACTTAAAAAAACCCAGCAAATCTAAAGGCTGCTCAAGCTTTAAAAATAAAGGACCAATGCAGCAAGCATTTTTATCAGCAGGATGTGGCTGAAGGGGAAAAACAAAGTTTGAGAAAAAACATACTAAAGTAGCAATATAAACACAAGAGGACACAAGCTTCCCTGTACATTTAAATGGTGTTTCCATGAGCAGTAAGTGTTGAGATGCTGTATGTCTGATTTGGGTTAGAATGTTACAATGAAGAATAGTCAGGTCACGATCCTTTAGGCTAAGTACAGACAGTCAAAAAGCCCGAGGCTGAATTGATTCAATCTTCACAGGTGAGTCTAAGCTACAAAGACTGAATTACACTAATAAGAAAGTAAACACACATTCACTTTTGATTCTGGAAATGAAGCCACATGCCTGCAGTGGCTCAGACCAGAAGCCCAGGAGTCCTGGGGCTGAGGAAGGGGAAACTGGGGAGTGCTAGAGCACACCTTCCTGCTTGGCTGGAGCAGACAGCTTGGGCCAAAGCCAGCCTGACCACCCTGCAAGGGAGGGGGGGCGTGTTGCAAGAGAGATGCAAAGCATCCTTCAATGCTGGGGGGACTATGTGTTAGCTTGAATCTGGAGGGGATGTGGGACAGAAGTTCAATAAACCGATTTAACCTAAATCAGTTAAGTCTGATATTACATTTATCCAGGTTTATCTTAAACCAGTGAAAGCAGTTTGTGTGCATTGAACTTCTGTCGTGTTACAGATTTGGACCAGTTTCTGATCACTTATACTAGTTTGTGTGTAATTTCTATCCCTAGCCTTAAAGCGCATTCATAGCTCATCTCTAATGTTCTTTTGTTTTTGCCATTTGTTTATGAGCTTCTGTGTGACATTGGCTTCTGGAACGTGGTCACCCTTACTGGGAATGACAAGTATCTGCAAGAACCTTATTTTTTGCAAGGAAAAAGGAAAACCTTTTCACAATGGAACAACAACAAAAAAGCCAAACTTTACCTGGTTGGTAGAAATTTGGTGAGAGTTCTCTGGCCACTGCTCTTGCAATATCACATTCCTGGTGAGCAGCCTGAGCAGCCTGATCTGCAGCGTCTGCTTTAGCTCTTGCATGTGCAGTTCTGTACAAAGCAGAAAGGAGTTTATATGGACAGGGGTCTTTTCATTATTTGTAATAATAGGTGTGAGAGCAAGGTACTGCAGTAACTGTACTGACTATGAGTAACTGCAAAACAAGTAAGTGTTTTGCAATCAAGGCATTATTATTCTAATCTTGCCTTCCTGTCACTTTTCCTTTAAAGTTATACAATTGGCAACCTAGGCGAGTACAAAGTCTATAAAGGAAGAAGATATTTATCTATATGAAACCTTAAACTTTAATCATATGTAACCATGGATGTATCAAACCTTAACCAAAGTTATTGTGACTCCTGATATTTATGCAAAATAATATTGGAATAATAACTGCAAACAGTGTAGTTTGGAAATGAATGTGGTGGGGTATTCTTCTTTGATGCATCAACTAAAATTTATGTAAGGGGTAGTCAAATGTACCCCGGTCCCAACATCATATGAAGACAATTTGATGAACTGCTGGTTTTCTTGTTAGTAAACTCAAAGAAGCACTTTATCAAGGAATACAGAAATACAAGCAAATATAATAGAATGGTTGTGCACTTTTAAAAAATAAAATACCTGCTCTTAAGTCTGGATAGGTGTTGCAAAGTTCAGGGATGGCTGACATATTTTTCATATGACATATTTTTAAGAAGTGAAGTTGGTTTTGACAATGACAATATGGTCTGTGATACAGATATAAAAGTATAGTCCTAAAAAGAGATTTTGAGAAAAATCATTGTAGTTTAGTCAGAGGCACTGGTTAAAGCTGCCCCCCAAATCTCAGAAACCTCAAAAGCCAAAACTGCAAGCCAAAAGTATTAAAACTAGAAAAGACTCCACCTTTCCCTCCATAGTCATTCAGGTCGCACTGATACAGAATGGAATCTGATTTCAGTTTAATGTTGCCTCAAAGTGTTTTACAAAACGATGAACTGCATTTAGCTAGTACTGTCAGCACGTGGGCACAGAAAGGAGACATTTTGAACTCTAGTTAGAATGTGGGCTTCTATTTGGATAGTACTTCGTGCATTTAAAGACATAACTGTATATTAGGGCAGCAAGGCTCCTCCTTTGCTAGGCATGGGGTGGCAGGTGGTGTTACAAGCTTTGATGTCTCCTGCAGCCCTTAAAGTTCTTTGCAGCCCAGGGCTGTATTACCTTTTATATGGGCTACAAAAAAGGAGTGAAAAAGACTCTTAGGACTAAATTGAAAAAGGGAACTTAGTGGAATCCACAGCCCCAAAGTGCTCCTTACATAGTGTATGGAAAGACTTAGGGAGCCCAAAGAACAGGATCAACAAAACCCAGCAGGCTGAAGGGGTGGCTGCTAATGTAGTCACTAGGAAACGGCAAGGAAATAGACATGGGTTAAATTCCACAAGCACATCTGCAGGACTAGACACTTCACAAATCCTAGGAGCAAGATATTTGTTGAGTTGTTGAGCATAGTCAAGACTAAAACACATTTGTGACTATGCCTACAAAGCAGACTTCTAAATGTCTAGAGAACTTTAATAGCAGAAAATACCCCCATGGATTTTAGGTATCCTCAGGATTTGGCTGTAGTGGAGCAGAGATTTTGGGAATATGTCTACACATGCATTAATTCACTTTAGTTAATGTGCATTAAATCCATTGTGAGGTACTAGGAAAATTCACATTAGCCTGTCCTAATGCACATTAATTAAAGTGACGTTTAATATGCATTAGCCTATTTTAATGCATATTAACAATACTTAGATTCTTTACATGGAAAATAACAACACATTTATAATTTTATTATTGGATAGGTTGTCTTAAATATGAAGTTGGCTTAGATTTAGGTAAATATGGTCATTTGTACACAGATAAACTATGGGCTGATCTTCATTTTGTGATGGATGAATCACAGTGCCGACTGGGCAGTGTCAGTGAAAAAAGGACTAGGTGTCATGCAGCCAGACAAGATTGTGCAGATATTTTCTTAATATTTTGGTGTACTAAGATACTATATTTCATGCCAATATTTGATGCATCTTTCCTAAAAATGCAGGCTCATATTAATACGGGATTTGAGCACTGCTATAAATGAGAAATGATATAATAGTACTACCTGACAGGAGAGCTGTAGCAAAGATAACTAAACAGAATGGGAAGCAAATATGTGACTTAAAAGCTGGGGAGCAGGGAACCAGGGTTGGGGAGGATCTTTCTGGCCCTTCTCTCTTGCACCTTTGGATTTAAATTGCCCCCTGTACAGCTCAGATGGACTATACACGCTTCAGTCTAAAACCGGGGGGCTCCCTACTGACAGGCCTTTCCCAGGCAGGGGAAAGGACAGTCTGTCAATTGATGGGCTCCCTGAAAAGTTGTACTGCTGTCTAGCCAGGGGGCTGAAACATGTACATTCCAGCTCCTGGGCTATTTTCTAGCCTATTTTTTTCTGAAATTCTTACCATTAGAAGTAAATGTCTGTTCATGGCCAGTGTTACCAACCTGGAGGAAAACTTTAGATCTGAGTTACCACTCTTAAAGAATTTTCTATAATGGAAAGGTTGTTAGAATTTTAACTACATTCAAGCAGCATAACCTCACTCAAATATAATCCATTTCTCTTCATTGATTATCTTGGCTAAGGTTACTAAATATTTCCTGCTTTTTGTTCTGGAGTTATTTTGTCATTATGTCATCTTAGTCTCTTGTCTAATATGAATAATTCTGTTAATCATGCATTGAAGCCTATCATATACTGAATAAAGTATCTCACATACTGAAAGGGTCACCATCATCTTAACAATCACTTTCCCGCAGAAAATTTTTCAGTCATTCTTCTTAAAACTAACTCATAAGTTTATTACAATTATAAGAGAATAATTTTTTTTTCTCTTTCTTCTTCCCCCAGTTTGTTTAATATGTACATATGAAATGGTTTCAACTTTGTGTTTCTGTTGCATGTTCTTCTACACAAAGCTTCAAGATTAATTGCAGCAGCAAAACTGAACTTGAAGAGAGTGGGGCAGGACTATGCAACAAGCAAAAGGCAAGAGACCAAAAAAGAAAGGCTTCTGCATATTTCTCATTGCTTTATTCAGGCCTCCCCAAAATACCTTTCTAAACAACAGCAGACAAACTATTGTAATGTTTTACAGTCTTTTTTTTTTTAAATCAGCACCCACTCCTCCTTAAAGGTTGTTTCAGAAATGTCAGCTGTTTACTGCTTCTTTACAGCTTTCTCACAGCTGAACTGAACATATCTTTTTATAAAAGTATTTTTTTAATTTCATTTAAATGCTATTAGAAAATGGTGTCTTAAAACCCTTTAATTTTTTTCATAGGTACAGCAAAAGTAAGGCTTCAGAACAGAGATTAAATATGGCTGGTTGGATACAGAATGAGCTATCAGTTAATCTACCCAAGCTGACATGTTATATGAGCTTCATATAATGATTCATCATAAGGAAAGGTAAAATTAAGTTACTCAGTGGCTGGAAACGAACTGCAGTCCTCCTGTGAAATAAGCACAGACCTATGATTATGGACACATATTGTATGCTATGTAACTGTACCTATACTTGGACTGATGCATCTTAAATCTACAGGTTGCATGATGGTAATGAAGGACAAAATGCTGGTAGTTTTAATGTAGTCGCTCTTATTGTAAGTGATATCTGGATTCAAATAAAAGGGTCTGTTTTTAACTTTCAAATTTCTAAACTGGAGATACAGTTGATGACATTTAAATGTTGTCTTGCTGTTTGGGTTTCACTGGTAGTTAAACATCTTGGTATCTGAACTACACCTACAAAATCGTGGGCACAAAATGAAAGATATCTCAAAAGCAGTCCTAGTGGTATAGTCATACAATCAGATTTCCATCTGCTTTTCTGTGAGAAGGGAACTAAAGGTAGTTTTTTTGAGGGCTGAAGACATTCAGCTATATTATTTGGCATTCTACACCAAAAATGCTTTATATGTACTGCCATATGTCTTCTATGCATCCGTTGTGAATGCCCTGAAAGTTGCACTGTTCGAGTCAACTAAATATTGATTGTAATGAAAGTTGTACGTTGTTCTATACTCTCTATATCATTTTGTACCTCAACAGTATTCTCCTATATATTTGCAATGCATTTTGGATTAATCTGAAAACACTATTAATATATAATTTACTACACTCTATCTTGCAGCTCATGTCTAAAGATACTGGCCCCGATAGAGGCCCTTCTAGTAACCAGAACATTACTTATCTCCAGTGGGTGCATCTACAGTAACTGACACTGACTAATTAGCTCTGCAGTAAAGCATCACCATTTACATGTGTACCCCTATTAGGGCGCAGTAAATTAATCAACTATGTTGTAGGATAGTACTCTCTGGGACAAGTACTATCCAACAGCAAAGTAGTTTCATGTGCCAAAACACATGTGTAGATGGTGACCAGGGCTGGCTGGGGCACAAGGGTGCTAGAGTGCAAGGGCTGCCTGCTGGCTAGCCCCACACTAAAGCCCACTTGTGCCCTAGCCAGCCCCTCCACAGCATGCTGAGCAGGGGAGGAGCAGTCCTGGGTGGGCAGGCTGACCCTCCTGAACTGCACCAAAGCTTATTGCTATGTGCTAATTGCACATGTAGATTCACTCAGTGTGATGCTTAGATTTCTCCACAAATTGCTTAGATTTCTGCCCATTACTCAGTTTTATATAAATGCTGTAATATTTTTAATACCCAGATAGCAAGCATCTCATTTATTATTTCGTTAAATACCCATAATGACTAAGGTGTAGGCTGTAGCTGTGTTGGTCTAAGGACATAGGCAAAAAGGTTCTTTGGGTGAATCTGGTATCTTTTATTAGACCAACTTGAATAGTTGGGAAAAAAAATTCTTAGCAAGCTTTTGGGTTTAAAAGCCCTTTGTTAGTCTGAGGAAGCCTCTGCAGTTGGTGTCTGCTCTTCCTGGATGGACTGAATAGTAAAGAAGCCAGAGGCTGGGCTATCAGATTCACCCAAAGAAACTTGTCTGCCATAT